CCCCCCCCCCCCCTTCTCTGCAAACTCTTCTCTGGGCATGGCTAAGCCTGTTAGTCCTAAGAAGTTTCAGCTTGACTTTGCTGGGTTAAAACCATCAAGTACCAATTCCTAGAGGAGAGCAGCTTCAATGGAAGGAGCCATTTCCATTGAAATGGAAACAGCCACAGCCAGAGAAGAGTTTGCAGAGAGGCTTCGTAGAGGAGGGGGCTGCTTCGCTCTTTTGGAGTCTCCTGGGGGTTTGGAGCTTCCCTTTTGGCCCCACTGTGTGCTCGACCCTGGGGTGTGTGTGTGTGTGTCTGCTTCATTCCCCACTGTGAAAGTTCCCCAGATGTTTAAGGGCAAAGATGGGAGGGGGGGAGATACAGTAGGCAAATAGGAGTTACAGCACCTCTGCAGTCCACGAGTGTGGATGGGCTGCCAAGGGCTGCAATGGCATAACTCTTGAGCACAGATCACAAGTCTCTTTGTTCAGCACCATCATAATTTCCAATGGTTGCTGAACAAATGGTCATAAGTTGAGGATGACCTGTAGTTAGAACTGCCCTTAGGAAGAAGTTTGTCACATATAAATATTATGTATATGGCAACTCCCAGGTTTAGTTCTGTTTCATTTAACAATTCATTTGCTAAACACTTTTTTTCAGTTTCAATCTCCTTAATTAGGTCATCATAATTTAAAATATACAATGATGAAAAGCCAAAGATACCCTCTATGTATTACAAACCAAACACTACAACAAGCATCAATGGGGATGCCAGCAGGAAGCTGGAAATTGCAGTCATATGTCATGCTTAATAAGCAGGCAAGATTCACTTAATGACTGCAGCCAGAACTGATGTTGTAAGTTTATCATTTACCATCATGCTTAATGACCACCAACTGTGGACAGTCGGTGAGGATTACCTGTATACTTTCCCCTCTATTGACAAAGTTTCTTTTACAGTGATCTGCTAGGATATCTTCTCTGTCCAGTTTTTATAATGTTGCTTCCTTGCTATAAGCATGTTTGTCAGAACACAACATCCAAATAGCCACTACTGTTCATTTTCATATATACATACAAACATACACGTATACAAAATGCTTTTTGAATTCTTCCATCCTCAGCTACATAAGCTCCTGAAGCAGTGTGTCCTGCTTCTGGTTCCAATTCTACACTCACAACACAGTCACTGTGGAAATTAGCAGTTTACTCAAAGTTGAGGAGGTAACAGCAGACAAGGAATGCAAACAGAAACAAGAGCCTCTGAAAGAAGCTTGCCTGAATAGACTTTCTTTAACAGCAGCAGACAGAAGAACAGTCAAACTCCAGTGCAGAGTTCCAAGAGCCAGGTCAGTATTGTCAGCCAATCCAGAAGTCAAAATTTCAGGAGCAGAATTTCACACAAACATCACGCAAAAGCTGGAGATCAGACAGTTGATTCCAATGAGGGATAACGGGTTGCCTTGTAATCAGCTGCAGCCAGCTGCCTTTAATCAAGAAATTTAGTCTCTTGCTTGACAAGGAGTCTCACTGAATTCTATACTTTGTTTTCTGCTCTCCTCACCAGGTAGGGGAACTTGGAGGCCTGCTGCATCATCTGATTGCTTGGCTCTTCAGGCAGTGCCTATGTTTGATCAGCCTCAGGTGATTCTTGGCTTTGTGTCTCCCGAGGCTAACATTTCATAGATTCTGCTGCTGCAGCTTCTTCAGCTTCAAATTCAGACCCAGCCATGATGCAGTACATCGATTTCCACATGCATCCTACCACGGAAACAGTGGCAAATCCATGAAGCATCCCAATGCTGATGATTTCTAGGTGAGACATGATGCAACCATCAACAAATATTCTTCTGATGCCACCATCTTACAGATGAATCAGTAGAGCTGAATTACTTCTTCCCATTCACTGATAGGCCAGATTCCATTAGGCTGGACATTGGGGGGTGAATTTTTCCAATCCCACACTTTCACAGGAACCTTCCAGTCTTTGCCATAATTGGCTTCAATATAGTGGAGGGTTTCACATGGCACATGCACCTTAAGTTCTAGAAACTCAGTCCAGCATAGGGTAAATTTGGGAAAGAGATACCTGCAAAAAGGAAGAACAGATAAGATGGTGTAGGTAAAATGCTACCAATGAGAAGTAGGTTATGTTCTTAGATCATTATGTGGCAGACTGGATATAAGCAATATGCAAAGTTAATTTCTGCAGGTGGTATATTATTATACTAAATTATTAAGGAAAGTTGTTGAACACATTTTAATTCTGCTGAATTATACTGACAGATCAGGAGCTATTTACAGCACCAAAATGCAATCTTCAAATTCTCCAAGTACCAAGGAAGCAAATTCTTCTCCTTTTTAACCTTTAAGCAGGCATTTTGAAGTGCCTAATAATGAGAATTAGAGACATTTATGTTGTTAATAAACATAAACATTTAAATTTCAACACTTACAGATACCCATTTCTTTAACCTGCTCCTGAAAATGTTTCTGAACTAAAATTTTCGCAAATTGTCCAAGTATCTGCTTTGCAGATTGAATTAATTAACCACACAGAAACAAAATTCTTCACTAATGATCAAATTTGAATCAAGATACAATCAATCACATCTCTGACCAAGGAAGAAGAACTAACATGGTGCCCCAGAAATTCTGCCATACTTTGTAAGAACTTTGTGTTGATCCAAAGAACGTCCATTTTTCCTATAATGTCATCGCCTTAGAAGAAATCAAGCTTAATAGCAACTTTCTGGTGAAATGATTGGCCTTGGATGGCCTTTCCTCAACTTAATTTACTCAAATAATGTATTTCCTTCTAGTTTAGTTACTTACAGAGTGGGTTACAATCATTCAAAAAATATTCCCTATTCTAACATAGTAAAATTGACCCAGCAACACTTACAGATACAACAAAGAACAAAAAAGTAAGCAACAAACACAGCTGATAGTTAAACAAGAACAACATTAGTCCTAGATAAGACTGATGACAATCTGAAATGTCCAAAATAATATACAAAATGTTAAGCTTTATTTAAAAAAAAAACAGTTCAGAAACAAGTGAACTTTTCTGCGCTGAAGCTAAAGGGGGGGAAGAATTACTAACAAGCACTCCTTGCCATTCACCATTCCTCTTGATTCCAGAAAAGTAGTTTAGTGGGGCCTCTTGAGTATTCCAAGAAGCTAATGTGGGAGAAAATAACTTAAAATTTCTAGATGCAAAGCCAGTTGGAATCTTGCAGAGATAAATGCTGGCATTTGAACTATGCTCAGAAATGGAAGTTTAACATGTTGTAAAAGGTTCTGCAAAATATCTCTAGAAGGAGACACCACGAAGAAGCTGAATATCTGCAAAGGTGGGCTGATAAATGTGAGTCAACTTTATCTTTCAAAGACTTTTGTTGTCCATTAAGGATCTTGCCACTAAGAAGCTTCCTGATTTTTATTTTTTTTTAATAACTGGGTCAATGTTCTCCAAAAGATTTAAAACCCATTAGAGCGGAAGCAATTATTTGCTGGGCAATAAGCTATGAAAACAGTTCTTTAGTAAGGTTTTCCCTCCATAAATACCAACTATGAGTCATACTTAAATTTCTTGCCAGACTTGGCCTGGGTTCCTCCGTTCCACATGTGGTCATCCTCTTCATAGAAGAAAAAAATGTCAAGCTTCACATCATCCTCTCCTCCCTGGAAGGAGAGCTCTAAACTATCTTCAACCTATAAAGAAAGAGGGGGGAAAAGGACTCAAAACATAGATAATAAAATTGGAACGCATCAAAATGAATGCTTGATTCCCTTCCTGTAATTCTTAACTCTGAAGTTTTGAGTACTTCCTAGCACTATTTTGAAGATAAAACTTCTTAAAAGATTAATAAAAAGCAATAAAGGAGAATATTTGTAGCTCATGGTTGAAATGAAGGGTCCACGGTGCTCTCTTGAGCTTGGCTGTTTTCTTGGCAGATGTTTCATTATCCAAAGTAGGTAACATCATCAGTGTACTAGCTAGTGATGATTTAAATTCAGATACTTGGCAATGACATGTATTTATGAGGGTTGCAGTTTCCTGATTTCATCTTTTGAGTCTTCTGTCTTATCTACTATTGTGGTCCTCCTTTGGAGTTCATTTTTCAAATGCAAATTCTCTCATCTGAGTTCAGCAGCCTCTTCTCAGGTAGGGTAAGCTGTGGCTCCCCAGGGTCCAGTAGTAGCCACTGTTGGAGGTGGTGCTGGTTGGCTCAGTTGGCCTTGTAGTCTGGAACACAGCTGATTATCTGAGCATCATCACTAGCACGGATGATGTTACCTAGTTTGGGTAATGAAACATCTGTAAGAAAACAACAAAGCTCAGAGAGCACCAAGGACCCCTAATAAAAAGCAGTTGAAAGAAACAGATATGATTCAGCTCCCGATGAAATTTGGTCAGGAGGGGGAATCACTTAAGAGTGCCAAGGCTATTAATTTTATCCCAGCCTATTAACGTATATAACAGCATTACAGGAATGTAACAAGTCTTCAGCAGTTTTTTTTTAAAAAAATCTTTTCTAAAGAAGCAGAATTAGAAGTAAAAGATTAGAAAGTCTTAAATTACTCACTGCTCAGATGCTAATAAAACTAATAGGCTAAAAAAGTCAAGAGGTACAATAATTATGATAATGGAAGAGAAAGATGTGCAAGTTAGCTCTAGACTATCTGCAAGATAAAACAATTCAATATTTACAAAGTGCTGAGGACTGCACCATTTGCCCCACCGGGGAAAGGAAAAAAAAACACACCCAAATCTCTTAAGTTTTCAGAAAACATTGCTTCTGGGTGAATAACAGCTGGTGAAGAAGAATAATTGGCAAGAAAACTAATGCAGGGCCTCTGCCTGACTGGGAACATGTTTTGATTTAGGCAGTTATTGTCAATTATATGTTGAATTGCAGCAAGCAATTCTTGCACAGCTTTCTGTTCTCTCTACTTTATCCTCATAATAATGTGAAGTAGGTTGAGTAAAGAGCCTGACTGCTCCTAACTAAACAGCAAGCTCCAGAGAGAAGATCCAAAACCAGGTTCCCCCCCGCTCCCCAACCCCCTTTGACCCCAGTGCTTTTCAAACTAGCCACCTTTAAGCTCCCAGAATTGCCTAGTCAGCATGCTGGCTGGAGAATTCTGGGAGTTAAAGTCGACACATCTTAAAAGTGCCAAATTTGAAAAACACAGTTCCAGTACAAGCTAATTATGCCTTTAATATTTCAGATATTGGGAAAAAAAGATTGGCAAGAAAGAAAAGTATGAGTCAAGCATATTCCTGTATTCACCAACCTTGCCAAATTTGTGTTTTAGCGGTAATCCGGCCTTCTGGAATGCTGTAATAATATCTGGCTTATAGTCTTGAATAAAAATCCCCAAGTCCAGGTCTTTACTGTAAGGAATAATGTTGCACTGTCTGTACCAACCTAAATATTCAACAGATCCATGAGAAATTTAACACACAATCATGCAGTCCCTACATTGGTAAAAAAGAGGATAGTGTAATTAAATAAAGAACAGAAATTATACCCAGAAGTTTTCCATTCTAAGGAAAGATGGAAAATTCAAGTTCTCTTCTAACAATCTGCTGCATTTATATGGTAGAGAAGAAAGACATAGAAGAACAATTTTACTTGCCCAACCTGTTCATTCCTCAAGGCTGCTTGGTAAATATTTAAATTTAAGAGTTAACTCCCATTTCCACAAATAAAAATGGCTGGTTTCTTTCTTTTAAAATAGTGGGAGAAACTGTACAAAAAAATCTGTAATCTTCCACACAGTCTGAATAAATCCAACTAGAATCATCTCTGGTGAACCAGCTGCAACCTCTCTTTCATGACAAAATTTTTCCAAGCTTAGGGACCCAATTTTTGCAAGTAAGTTTATTTGCAAATGCAACTCTAGGTGGCTAGTGTGTGAATGCAATAGGAAAACAATGTTAATAAAGAGTAAAAATCTACAGTGGTGCCCAAGAGGAAACCCAGACAAAGCAATCAGCAAAAGCCTCTCAACTAAGTTGGCCATGTAAATTTCCTGATCCCACGTGATGGTAAAAATTACAATAACTTTGTAGGTAATTCTTTCCTCATACTTTTAGTATTACTCAACAAAAATAAGGTGCTAACTTAATTGCAAGCTGATTAGAAACATAATGCAAAAGACTTAGCTCTCTTAACAAGTCCATCATGACGATGGGAGACATAGAAGGAAAAAGAGGAAGAAGATGACCAATAGCAAGGAGTCAGTTATAGCGGTGATAAGTGCACCATTGGAAGAGCTAAACAATCAGATTAAGGACATCATGGAGAAAATGTGGTGACTATGAGACAATACCAATTTGATGGCACATAATTAATCAAATCACCATATTTAATGGTCTTACTGGATCAGCACAAAAAGATGTTGAATTCAATATCTTGGGGTAAGCAAGAAGTTTACTAGAATTTTTGGACAGCATTGTGTTGAAGACACTGCAATCCTAAATTCCATAATTGAACAATGCCTGTGTGAATTACCTCAAATGAATGACACATACCACCCCCCAGGAAATATTAAAGGGTTAATACAATTTTTCAGTATTCTCTTTGTTTTTAAAAAGGTAAAAGAGAGTAACAGAGGCTTCTTTCATCTTACTTTCCTGCAGATAAGGATACAATTGGCATTTGTGAGCCATTTATTTCATTTAGCTTAGATGATTCCCCACATTAATGCTTGATTAAGAACATTATTTTCATACTTCCACCTACAAAACTGGTAAATCCTTCCTAGTGTTTCTTTCTATTTTTTTTTTAAATACCAAAGTGTTTTAAACCTAACTAATTAATTACATAAACCTATTATTGTTCTTATTTCAGTATTAATAATATTTTGGAAAGTCCATCTCTTGCTTTATAGAGAAAAACCTGCGTATATTTACCTGGAAGCAGGTTTCACTGAACTTCTTTTGAACAGACATGCAGAGAACTAGGTTAGTTACAATTCTTTTCTGGAGTTTATGACCAACCAACTTATTCCGATGTAGGATATTTTTTCTGACAAATTATTTAAATCGCCTTGCAGCTTCCTCTACTTCCAATATTTCACTGAGATGTTTCTGCTTTTTCGAGGTCAACCCCCAAACTTTAGGCACTGTATAGCAAATCAAGACACAGGGTGTATCCCCTGGCTTATGCTGTATGCAGAACAATATGATCCATAAATTAAAAGGACTGAGAGATGAGCTTGCAAAGGTGCATGTGTTACAGTGAATGCAGAAGATTTAATTGGATATTTAAATAGATACAAGATATGATGAAAATCACATCATATAGGGTGTGATAATATATCTATAGCAAAATTTAGCTATTTATCTTCTAAAGCAGAGTTCCCCAACCCTTCCAGGTTGGCGGCCCGGAGGGGAGGAGGGGGTGGTTTTGTGGGCGGGGCAGGGGCGTGCACGTGCATATGCATGCACACAAGCACCCATTGCTTGCATGAGTGGGGCCGAGAGCACAAGGTGACACTCACATGAGTGAGACCCCAAACGCCCATGAAGCTTGTGCAAATGAGGCCCCGAACGCCTGTGACACTCGCATGAGTGGGGCTGTGAGCGCCTGCGATGCTCGCGTGAGTGGGGCCCCGAACATGTGTGCACACCAGTCAGCCACTCACATGGCCCAGTTGTGAATAGGCCACGGACTGGTAATGGGCCGCGGCCCACAGGTTGGGGACCCCTGTTCTAAAGCAAATATTTTAAAAGAGATTGGAAATCAAGGATCTGCAATACTTCATACTGATGGTGAAAAGATACTTCAGAGTGGGCATAAATGCATATGCCATACCCATTAGTGTTTGATTAAAACTCTTCGTGTATTAGGTTCAGACAACAGCTCCCTGATCCCACCAGAAAATGTGTTTGAATTAAGGAGGCACCTATAGCATGGCCAGACTTATCCCAGAGCACCTTGGACCGCCTCTTGAATCTCCTCAACTTAAACACATGATTTCCTGGAATTGCACAGCTTCCATGTGAGCAAGGAAATATGTAGCTTCTTTAAGGAAATGCAGGCAGATGTGGTATGCATCCCCACACTGCTGCAAAGCACCTTTTTGGTTCTGGGGATGAAATACTGAACACTCCTACTTATATTTATGTAAGAGTGTAATTACAAGAACCAACCAGATATGGACCAAGCGTGCTGGATTATAACTACCAGTACTCCTAATCTACAGAGCTCTTTAATTCATTTGAAGAGTGTAGGGTAAAAAAAACCCCGCGCATTAATGCAATGTTTAACTTATTGCAATAACAGTTGATGTCAAGAATAATACTTATAAAATCTCCCCGTTCTAGTATCAGTGGGGTAGGAGATCGATGAAGGACTCTCTTGCCACATATGCTTCTGGGATCATAGTCTAAGACTATGGATGTTATGGTTCCATGCATTTGATCTGTTTGGTCTTCATACATGGCGTATTTCTGCCATATACCTAGTTTGGTTATCTTGTCCCTCAGGTTCAACTGCCAGCATTGCAGGGAACAGTTCTGGCTTCCAACCAACTGCAAGTGACTTACCTAGACAAGTCCCGCTACTCAGCCAGAATTGTACTCCTAAAGTGTTCAGTGTCAGAGCAGCAAGACGCAGCAATGCCTTGGCTTTTTTCCTGAATTCCACTGCCTCGGGGGACGTATCATCAGGGTACAGCTAGGAAAGAAAGAAAAAGGAGGAGGGGAAGAAGGAGAAGGAGAAGGAGAAGGAGGAGGAGGAGGAGGAGGAGGAGGAGGAGGAAGAAGAAGAAGAAGAAGAAGAAGAAGAAGAAGAAGAAGAAGAAGAAGAAGAAGAAGAAGAAGAAGAAGAAGAAGAAGAAGAAGAAGAAGAAGAAGAAGAAGAAGAAGAAGAAGAAGAAGAAGAAGAAAAGGAGGAATAGCACTGTAAATTCTTTGCACGTTGTTAAGTCAAATGAAGGCATTTGTCTAATCCAGTGTTTCTCAACCTTGACAATTTTAAGGCATGTGGACTTCAACTCCCAGAATTCCACAGCCAGCATTGCTGGCTGTGGAATTCTGGGAGTTGAAGTCCACATGCCTTAAAATTGTCAAGGTTGAGAAACACTGGTCTAATCTGTACCTTAGCTTCCATGACCATTTTTTATATTTCCTTTCCAGTATTTAGAATTCCCCCAGAAGAAATAAGTAACTGTTACAAATAAAGTGGCTGCTAAGCGGGAAAAGACTTGACTGCCAATGTGGCTTCAAGCTGGAAAAAGACAAGACTTGTCATTTTACCCCTTCCCTTTTGTTTGTCTGATAACTGCTCCTTAGGAAGCAGTGTCTGTTTAATGCCTTATACACATCAAAAGCAATGAGACTGTACCACAACCCTGGGGCTGGAGCGACCTAAACTGCTTACTCTCTTGAAATCCCTTCCTTTTCAATCTCTCCAATCTGCAATTTTGTAAGAGAAAAAAAAATCACTAAGCAGAGAACAATGCATGACTATAATGGCAATCACGTGACTGAGGGATACTACAAAGGCCATAAATGTGGTAACATGGCCATAAAATTATTTTTTTAGCATCGCTGTAACTTCAAACGGTTGCTGACTGAGTGGTCGGTAAGCGAGGACTACCTGCAATGAATCTGTATTTAAATGAAGGTCCTTATTCCTTGTTCTCTTGGAAAGTGGAAGCAAGGAGCCACAGGGAGCCATAGGCAAGGGCCCAATTCAAACTGGTGATGATAACCACGGAGGGAAGCTGATAAACAATTTAAAAATCAAACTTATGGAGACTTGTGTAACAAAATCTGATACAATATGACATCTTTGGAATGAAATCGATTCTCTGCTTGTGCTAAAGACTATTGGCCAGAGTTGGAAAAATAAATAATCATTTGGACGCTGACATGGGTGGTGTCTGAGATATAGAAAGACAGACAGATAGATAAATCAGCTTTGGATCCAAAGTCCATCAAAAAATCACCATTGCAATCAATCCAATTTTCATCTTCACTAAATAATGCACTTTTCATTCCCTTCTGCACTTGTAGTAAGACAGCTACAAACTATTACTTATACCTTAGTAAAACACAACACAAAGTTTAACCCACATAAAATCTTTTCTTTTTTTAATGCAACTTTTCTACCTTCCTGCTGTGCTCAAATGTTAAGAAAGTATTTCTTGCAATGAAAGAAATGAATTCTTTCATTGCTAGGCCTTCCATATTCATTCTTTGGCGCCATCAAGTGTCAAAGCCGCAGAGCAAATCTTAGTAGGTAGTCACTAAATAGGGTTAAGCATGGAAATGTGGCTGGCTGTTGGGCTGAAAAACTGAAGTACAAGTTGCCCAAAGAGGGAAAAGATTAATTGGGTTAGGATTTCAACAAAACTATGGCCAATATTCAAAAAAACATGCATGTGTCTCAGGGCATCCAAAGGAATTGTGGGTTTGAAGAGGGGCTTTCCAAACCACTTTCAAGAATTGTTTTTTGAAAGAGATGAAACAAATTACAAGTAAGGTCACTAGGTCCTAGGCTATGTAGTAAGAGAGCGCCAGTTGATGTAGTGATTAAGACAACAAGCTAGACCCCAGGAATTTATGAACTTTAGTGCCACTTTAGGCACAAAGTCAGCTGGGTGACCTTGGACCCATCACTCTGAATCCTGGAAAGGTGGCAAAATTAAACCAGAGGTTAATTGCAAAAATTATGATTTTCTCAGTTCCAAATAGCCAGGAGACCAAGATATCTTCTACTTTGCAGTGAGGAGCTAAATGCAATATCAGTAGGCTTACAAAGGTCCAGCTGGCCACTGTATTAATAGATTGATCGTTCACTTAGTACCACTGATTTCCTACAAAAGAAAGATGTATCCACGGACACCTTTTAAATAATGTCTCCATTTTGAACAAGTGACAAGAATTAGCAACTATTGCCATTTCAGTGCCGGGGTGTGGAAGGGAAAGCTGACCATAATAGAAACACTGCACATTTTGGAGGCAGTGGTGACACGGATATATCATTTTTATTAAACCAATGAATTCAAACACAAAATGGTACTAACCTGGAAGAACGATCGAGCTTCCCTGTACCGACATTCAATAAATCTAGAGTGAGACCTTTCTTCAAGGAACCTAGATGGCTCTTTTGGAATCTGGACTATTAATCCATCAATGGAAAGAGTCAGTAATTCCATCCTGTTACAAGAAGGGGAAAGTGATGTTATCCTGACCAGGAGAATGTAACAGAAACTAGACATTTCCTTTCCAATTTGTATTAAGGCAGCAAGCTAACAAATGCACATTTGCTGTTCGTCCTGACACACAATCACAACTTGCATGTTCACAAAAACATTTGTCCATCTGAATCTGCTATTCTCGATCCATCCAATGCATTGGATATACACCTAAAACAGAACCAAAACAATTGTTAACAATTGGGTGGCAGAGCTGCCAATCAACGGAAGGCAACTTTGGGTACTGCCTCCTGGGTTCTATTCCAACAGGAAGAAGTAACTAGAATAGAGGCAGAAGGGCAGTTTTGAGAGACGCTTGGACTCTACGTTTGGGAATCTCTCTCGGTGTCACTGACACAAGCCTGGGAATAATTTTACAGGCAGGGTAGGCTACTATGTACAGGATATAATTTTTTAAAAAATAAGTGAACCTGTTTTAAAACCCATTTTTGGTGATTTAACAAATATCTATGTGTTCCTTATTCTTCTATCCTCTATCTGCCCCGTATTCTCCCTGTTTGAGACTTAAAAGAATTTCTGTACGCTAAAATGGATTTAGTAGTGGTAGGAAAAGGATAATTTAGGAAAAGACCTCCACAACATGGAGGGAAGATAGGGAACACAACTATGGTGTTTTAACAATTTATTTGAAGGCTGCCTTGACTGGGTCTGATAAGATGAGAGGCAGCATGTATAACTGGAAGGAATATAAAATAATAAGCTTTCCAGCTCATCAGCTGAACCTTCTGATAGAGGACACATTGATTACAAATGCATGACAACAATGCAAGCACACTGCAAAGCAATTGTGAACATATTCCACAATCGCAATGCTATTAATCAGGTAACTCAATATAACTGCCTTAAGTGACTTAGTTACTTTCCCATTTTAGAAGCAGCTCATCAAAAGTAAAAGAAGAGAGATGCCCTATTTTCTTACAAAAGCATGCATCTTGTCACTGGGGAATTGTGCATTTTTTTTCATCTAGGATGTATTATGGGGTGGTGTGTCATTTTTCTTGCTTGATCCGCATCCTCCATATTCAGAGATGGGCCTTCCTTTGTTCAGAGGTGACCATAGTTTAAAGCCGTTGACATGGAATTTCTTTGAGGGTGCAATTCTTTTGTCTGCCCTGAACCTACTGCCAAATAATGTTGTCAGGGAATTCTCATCTCTGCCATCATATAAAGATGAGAGAAGGGAGAGGAATCTAATGGCCTCATTACCAGCATTAATCAAAAGTACAAGTGCACTTTCTGACACAATTTTCATCACTTTTATATTCCGGGGTGTCTGATTTCATCTCAGCCTTTTGGAAGCCAAGTACTGTAGAACAGCTGTGTTTTGCAAGAGGAGCCTTACCATCATATATAACAACAATACTGCCCTGCTGTTTCTTACTTGTCATAGGCTCCAGAGTAGCGTCCAAAGTGTAGTTTCTGGAAAGGCACGAAAGTCCTGTCCATGTGTAGCTTCAGACGGAGCGGCCCATGCCAGAGGTAGTTGCCACTCCTCTCATAGAAGACTACTAGATGGATGGCATGAGTTGCCTGTTTGAAGATGTAGTGCAGAGGGACTTCTGTTCCAGAGAGATCTTCCATGCCTTCCAAACGTGGATCTTTACTCTGAAGTTTTAGCCACTGGAATCCCATTCTCTCAGCAGCTTGAAACAAGCTCACCTGAAACCAACATAAAAGTTTTTGTTCTGATCACCTTCATCAAACTTCAGCCATGTTTCACCCAACAGTTCCTTTTAGGATGCAACCTAAAAGGATAATCACTGGTAATTATCTATAACAGTGATGGCGAACCTTTTAGAGACCGAGTGCCCAAACTGCAACCCAAAACCCACTTATTTATCACCGAGTGCCAGGTGGGCGTGGCCCACTGGATGGGCATGGCTGTGGTAGTCATGGCAGATTGGGTGGGTTTGGCCAAGGTGGGCGTGATCACCTCAATGTTGCTTATGGGGAGGGACACCTGTGGGGGCAGGGCAGGGTTGGGGGAGATCCAGGGGGTCTCTGGCAGGTGGGGCAGTGGGCAGGAGGCCAGTCCTGCGGGGAGAGGCGAGGCGAGGTGAGGCAGGGTGGGGGTGCCATTGTCACAGGGCAAGGTGAGGCAGGGGCCGGGGCGGCTGCTGCCTGACACCATCAGCCCCTGCAGACAGAGGCCAGCGAGCCATGGGTGCTGGGATGCATCCAGCCACGTGGGCCCTCGGTGAGTTAGTGGGCTGCTGGTTGAAGAGGGATAGTTGCCATCTCCGGGGCATGGTGCGCGTGCCCACAGAGAGGGCTCTAAGTACCGCCTCTGGCACGCATGCCATAGGTTTGCCACCACTGATCTATAAACTCTATTCAGCTGGGACTCTTGCTGCCTTTAGGACCATCTTCTGAAGGCAGACTCTACCCACCCTACTTCATCTAGTGCAGTGGTGGCAAACCTATCACAAACGCCATCACTGATCTAGTGGGTAGGCAACATCACGTGACATCACGAGTTTGACATGTCTGCCCTAAAGAGATGGTGGGGGAACTCAAACAATGACATTCTCAGGAGAGCCCTTCCCTCTGGAATAGCATAACCCTGGAGATCAGACGTCCCCCACCCCCCACCCTCATGTCCTTTAGAAAAATGTCAAACTGTCTTTTTCAAAAGGCATTCAGTTGGAAGACCTTAAGTAAGAAGGAATGGCACCTTTTTATAAACAGGATTTAATAGTTTTATTGAGTCAGTGTTGTTATCCTGTTTTTAATCTAAGATTTACTTTTCTGTATTGTAAGCTGCTTAAAGTAAAAATATTAGACAGCATACAAATGTGGGCAAAAAAACCTCTCTCTATTGCATCCTAATTAAACGACTGCAAACTTTAGCAGAGTTAGAGGAAGTTGGAAAAGGACATTTACTTCAAGTTTCCAAGTTTTGTCCAGTAGTCCAAAGGTGGTACAATCCCGTGGGGTACAGAAGTATTTGCATTCTGAGTGACTGACATCAGAGAAGGTCTGAAGCTGCTCCAAGTCTTTGTCAATCAGTTCCAAAAGGAGAGGGTCAATCAGATGCACAACTATGTTGTGGCTGGCCACCAAATTCAGAAATTTTCTAACCACGTACTGTTTTTAAAAAAAGAGAGAGAGGGGACAGAAAAAACATCAGGAGTAAATGTTTGCTGAAAATCTATACCAAAATAAAAACAATACAGGTGGAATTCAACTTGCAACCATAATAGAGTCTGCCCATTATGGCTGTATGGTTGTAAAAGAAGTCAGCCATGTGATCAACCAGATTTTTTTATTTTTTATTTCCAGTGGTCGTTAGGCAACCACTGAGGTCATTAAGCAAACAACGCAGTCGTTAACCAAACTAATGGTTTACTATGGGCACTCTTTTGCCCAAAACCAGAAGTGCCAGTTTTGGGCAAAACTGTTGTAAAATGCGGTTATGTGACTGTCAGATGCTGCATATGATCTTGCATGCAGCCACATTGCTGAGTCCTCAAAATTTGGTCATGTGACACGGGGGAGGGGAGGCAACCATCAGAACTTCAAATCCAGGTTCTAAGTCCCCTTTTTCAGGTCAGTTGTAACTTCAGTCACTAAGCAACTTGTCATAAGTTGAGGAATACCTGTAATAATTTGTAGTAACCCTAACAATCATTTTAAAATCATGATTTTGATCATGAGCATCAAGGGCTTTTGTATAAATAGTTATAGTTAATGTAACAACTACTATTTTGAAATATTTGGCAAAAAAAATCAAACTAAAGGTTTTTTTAAAAAAAACAAAACTCAAATGATTAGGATAAACTTTGGTGCCAAAACCAAGGCTGGGTGCCTTTTTTTTAGAGTAGAAGGCTGCAATCTCCTTCAAGGTGTTAGGTAGGACCCTTGAAGAACTGTAAGTGGTAGGCATTATTCCCTCATAAATAAGTCACTATTGTTAAAATAAAAGTACAGTAATTTAACACTTTATGCAAATATTCCCCTATGTATTTAACATCCCCTTGGTAATTATTATTTGCATGTAATTGCCTCATGTCGTTGCCTCCCTCTTTTTCACTGAGTTGTCTCTTCCACCTCAAGCGTGTTGTTTTTGAGAAATAGTAAAGTCGGATGTATTTACCCATTGACTATTGTCTTGTCCTGCTTTGCTTCCTTTAATCTTGGGGAAAACAGCTCCATTCTAACAAAACCAAACAAGAGAAATAAAGCTCTACAACTCCACTCTCAACCATACCATGAAATTATAATAACAAAAAACAAAGCTTCAACGATTTTTACTAGCAAGCAAGTATGCTTCATAACAACATTTGTTATCTCTGCCTTCAATAAATGTTGTGGATTGCTTGTTTGTTTTGTTTTTTCTAGCATATTTTAAAACACTATAAGCACTTGTTTAGATCTGTAAATCCGGATTTAGGTTTGACCGTAAGTAACAAGAATCATGAAACTTTACCTTTGGAGACAGATAATATTTATAATAGTACAACTGGAACAAGAGAAAGATTGAGCTGGTCAAAGTAAGAAGGCCCAATACTACGTTTTTGTTAATTCTCTGCATCGGTCTTTTGAACCCTCCTGGTATTCATTAGAAAGCAGCAGTTGGTGCTTCTCATCTTTTTTAGATGGCCTAGTGTGAGTTTCAAGGCTGGGAAAACATTAAAAAAAATGAATTCAGTTAAGAAGCTGAATTTAAAAAAGCAAAGTTGTTGTTCTTCTGTTTAAATAACTATCCTACAACTCAAGTTCTGAGATGTAACTAAAAGCTCATCATACAAAATTAAAAAGTTATTTTACTGATTCACAGCTGATTTGGTGTTGTTTTGTTTTGGATATTGTTCTAAGCAACTTCATGCCTGGAACAACAATGCCTTGAAGGTGTGACTAGGCAAACCTTCTGAGAAGGGCATCCCGTAAGTAAGATACCTTCTTACTAAGTTTTACCCACTTAAATTCATTTTGGGCGAAGAAAGTTAGAAAAAGCAGACATTCAATCAATCTTAGTGCAAGCCATCATTTCATATTTCTAAAATTAATTTCCTATTCCTATTCATGGAGTCCAATTTTCTCCAAGATGGAAGTGTTTCCTCAGTGAAAACATAGTTAAGAAGTGCTTCATATTTGCTTTTCAGATGATAGTTACAAAGAAAAGGGGATTGGTGGGTTTTCATGGCTGTACCTTATGTTTCAATGTCTGGATTAGAAGAGAAAGGGAAAGTGTTAGCCTACAACATTGATCATGCCAAGAAACAAGATGCCTAGTATGCCATAAACCATTTTTATTAAGATTGGCTCTAACAACAAAGTCTTGCAAATCTGGATGTGCTGCTTCTCCTCTTCCTTTTATATTCATGTGATGTAGGGGGGCATCTGGGACATTTTCATAGCTCCCCACCCCCAGTCTTGACTTAAGCAATATTTATCTATCTCTTTAGGAATAGATGTTCCCTTTTTCTGTCAAGTTCATTCTCTACTTTCTCTATGGAAAGTAGCTAGAGAAATGATAAGAAACAAAAATTTCTTCTTCTCTATACACAGAGTGAATGATGTTGCCCCATGGAAATCTACCTGCTTCCTACTACATGATAACTGTCTTGAAGGGCTATCATAAGAAAGAGGGGATTGACTTATTCTCCAAAGTACCAAAAAGCAGGACAAGAAGTAATGGGTGGAAGCTTTTTAAAGAGAAATCTAGCTTACACATCCTGACAATGAGAACAAGTAATCAATGGGATAGCTTGTCTCTCAAGAATTGTGGGTGCTTGATTACTAGACGTTTTCAAAGATAAACTGGACAGTCATTTGATCTGGATGGTGTAAGGAGATTGGACTAGAAGACCTCTGAGGTCCCTTCCAACCTATGAGTCTATCGTCTACTCTGGATTGAACCGACAGGAAGTAGTCAAAGGCGGTTCTGAATGTGCAATGCACTTTTGATCCTGGCAATCTTGACTGACATTTCCAATGGTCAGCTTGAAAAAGATCTCCTCTGCTCATCCCTTTCTCAGGCCTACATCACATGCAGATGGAAACTAAAGTTGCTCACTCCAAATGAATGATCTGGCACTGATCCTGTATGATTTATACAGGATCCTCTTGGTGTAATAGATCAAAAGGAAGCCTTCTTGCTGCAGCTTCTTAAAAATTGAACATCGTCACCAACTTGGGTTGTGGCTGTAAATGCAAGTTTTATGGTCTCCAAATACGGCTAGCCTACTGCATCCCATAGTTCAGGAGCCCACTACAATTGAGCAGCAGAGTGTTCTTTGCAACAGAAGGAAGTACCGGTAGTTCAAAGATAACGGTATTAACTGCTTTATATTATTGCAGGAATTTGACCATTCTTGAACCTCAGGTCTAGAAAAGGCAGGATGCTCAAAAGTGAACCCACCAGATATATATCTGCTATGAATTATCTTCAAGACAGTTAAACAATTTTATTGTAGAAAAAATATAATAAAGCCAAGAAAAAGCAGAGGCAGAGCATAAATAGTATGCCTTTTTCTGCGAGGAAAACCTGGAACATATTGAAATTGTAAACCATTTAACTGTATCTCACTTTCTAGCTCATCACCCAAACCTTTTTACAAAGGACACATTGAATGTGAATGCATGACAACAATACTAGCAAACTGTAAAGCAACAATGAACATATTCCACAGTTGCAGTGTTGCTAACCAGATGATTCAATATCTCAAATTATTACCGCAAGCATGTAAAAGGAGATTCTCAACAAGAATGAACTTTGGATCCTAACTGAAGGAGCATTTAATTTGCTGTTACCAATTTCAATACCCATCAAGAATCCTAAAGGAGATAGGGCTTCTCTTTATTATATTCCTGAGATATTCAGGCAGGTTGGGGAAGTACAGTATTTCAGTGTGGATTTTCTTGATGTGACTGTGCTTGTGTGATTTGAGTCTGATTGCCCTTGGTGCCATGGCACTATTTATTGTGTCATTTGTGTGTACTGGTATCATTTATTTATTATTCTTTGGTTTTAATCCCCTCTTCACAACCCAGAGCTGAAATTGTGAGATGGGTTGCAATATAAATCAAAATTAGAAACTTGTCAAAAGGTAGTAGTAAAGCTAATATTTACTGAGACACCTGAATGGGCAGCATAATATTTCTCCCAAAGATCTACTATCAGGATTTGAAGCGTTCCACCAAAAGCAGGAAAGAGAATCAACTAACAAACGGAACACACTGTAAAAGTAGATCCCATTTTCCAAACTCCTTGTTCCCAGATAACCAGTCACAAACGTAATAGTGAGCAGGCTTGTGCAGTATGAGATGTAGCCTTGACTCATGAACTGGCCCTATGAATGAAGTTGAATGTGCAGAAGCATTCCTGAAAGAGATGTGTTTCATTCTAAGTCAGACATGCTATGCCCCAATAGTCATTTCAACAGAAAAGTGTTAATACTTCCTTAAATTATTGCCTAGTACTCAATGTTGTTTCCAATATTCTATTTCCCCCCCCCCACATATCAAACTTTTAGTTTCTTTGAGGGAATGTTCAAACCTCACAAAATAGGCTAGATTTGGAGGATTTTTCATATCAACTAATATAGCCAAAATACTTGTGCAGATTCTGGATATAAATGTGCAAACGTGACTACTACTTATTTGCATAATTCATAATTTTATCGAAGATCCCTGCTAGTGCTGGAAAAAACATTGTTTATATAAACAATGAGCATAACCCAGTCACCAGTGATTGATGGAGATTCAACCATATGCCTATGGAATGACTATTCTCTTCCAAATATGGTTGTAGGCAAAACTAAACAAAAACTAAGGAAGCTTTTATATCAGTAGGGTTAGGGCAGGGGTAGGCAACCTTGGCTCTTTTATGACTCGTGGACTTCAACTCCCAGAATTCCTGAGCCAGCTATGCTGGCTCAGGAATTCTGGGAGTTGAAGTCCACGAGTCATAAAAGAGCCAAGGTTGCCTACCCCTGGGTTAGGGTCACTGGCACGGCAACCTTTTTGGTGAAATTTAATATCTGCCCTTTCTAAACGAAGTAGACCTTAATACCGTACGGCATTTATTATGTATTCCCTACCTCTCTTCCAACCTTGACAATTAAAGCTGCGTAAGAAACCCCGATTCCTCTCCAGATGCCCATGAACTACAATTCCCAGCATCCCTCACCACTGGCCATATTGCACTACTACCTGGAGGGCTACAGGTTTCTTGCTCAGGTTTACACTGCGAAGGCTTCGGGGCGAAGAAAGCTGCTAACGCCAGCTTTTTAAAACGTTTATTTCCCCGTTTTGCGAAAGCATCTCTTTCTCGCTTTATCCCTTCAAGGCTGTGTGCAGTATAAAATAAGGGCTAATAATACAACGTTGCTGCCCTTACCTGCCAGGCGCGAAGCGAAGTGGGGGAAACCGTAAGACGCCAAAGGGTGGGCTTTTGCGGCATTACCACCCCCCCCCACCGTAAGGCAAGGCCGCCGCGCTTTACGTCAACTCCGCCTTGCAGCGATGCCGGGCAAGTTGTACGAAGGAAGGAAAGAAGGGAGTTTTAGTGTGTTTGTGGTGTTCTGTCGTGCGCGGCTCAGTTCACAGCTGAGGAGGAGCAGTCTCACCCCGAAACAGAGGCTCACTTGCCACTCTCCCTCTTTAGAAATACGTTTAGTTTAGTTCAATCCGCAAGGTTCCCTCGTTGCAACTAGCGCTGGGCGGGTTCAGTTTATTATATTTTGCAGCTTCACGGATAGCGGCACCCCGGTGGAGACATCGGTGCAGTTGGGAACGCTGATTTGCGGGTGTAGGAAAGTGATGGGTTAAGAAGCCCACGAAGGCTTAAAGCAGTGTTTCTCAACCTTGACAATTTTAAGGCATGTGGACTTCAACTCCCAGAATTCCACAGCCAGCATTGCTGGCTGTGGAATTCTGGGAGTTGAAGTCCACATGCCTTAAAATTGTCAAGGTTGAGAAACACTGGCTTAAAGGCTGGCTCTGTCCTGTGGGTTTCGGGACAGGGAAATCTGCCGAGCTTAGAAACAAAGCAGGGTCAGGTCTAATTAGGATTTGCAGAAGAGACCGCCTGGAAGCATAGACTGGACTGGGAAGGCGAAAAGATGCCAATAGAAAAAGCTTCCAGGAGTACTGCAAGGCTGTTAGGAAAAAGCTATTTGCAGATTTATTTAAGAGAGATTTATCAGCTGGAATCTCTTTAACAAACTGACGTTATTGGTTTATAGTACTGGCAGATCTATAGTACAGTTCATTTAGTGACCGTTTGAAGTTACAATGGCACTGAAAAATGTGTTACAACCGTTTTGGTATCCCCATGGTCAGGCGATCAAAATTCAGATTCTTGCCAACTGGTTCTTATATATGACAGTTGCAGTGTCTTGGGGTCATGTGATCACCTTTTGCGACCTTCTGACAAGCAAAGTCAATAGTTAAGCCAGATGCACTTAACTGTGTTACTAACTTAGCAACTGCAGTGTTTCACTTAACAACTTTGGCAAGAAAGTTCATAAAGTGGGGCAAAATTCATTTAACAAATGTCTCACTTAGCAACAGAAATTTTGGGCTCAATTATGGCTGTAAGTTGAGAGCGACTTGTAGTTGCATGATTAGGGCTGCCCATCTACCCGATTATAAAAATAGAACGTACCTCATCCCACTTGGGATTTGCCCGCCCACTCATGCTAGGAGGCGGCATGCTGCAGACCTCGTCAGTCAGCGTATTCCTGATGGGTCCCCAAGAGCCTTCTCTGCCATTCCAAATATCCCTTTGGAATATTTTGCGTGCGCGCCCATGAGTTTGGTTTGGGGCTCCAGGATGGGGATGCTTGATAGTTTAATATCAGATCCCACTTCTCCCCCCCAATCCTATTCCCTCCTTACCCATCTTTTAGCTATTGTATTTTGTATATATTTTTGTATATGTGTATTTTTGTAATATTCTATCTATATTGTTTTATTTTTAATATTGTAAGCCACCCACAGTTATCCTGTGATAAGATGGGTGACCAATACATTTAATAAAATAAATTCCTCAGTGCATTAAATCCATGACCATTTTCTGTTTTGTCCATAGTTAGATCATAATCAAAAGCAGTATAACAGCAGAGATGGCCGTATTAAGAGCTTGCTAGAAAAACCCAATTGAGCAGATTGGGCTTGTTCAATTTGAGGAGAGTATGTATGAGAACCATATTTACTCAGACTGAAAGTCACCAGTTCATTTTGGAAATTTCTATTGACTTTTTATAGTACCACTCCCTTCTAGCATGAAGTCTTCTAAAAAGTACAGCACTGAGTTCAATATCATAAGAACATTGTTAACTTCTTCCCACGATCGCTAAGCGGTAAACAAACTTGCACTGATAAAGTTTGTCTCTTCAGAAAGCTATAAAGGAAAATTGGGCACTATTTTCATGTAATTTGTTATGTTTATAGCCTGCTTTTTCACTCAGGAGGCATGCATACCAATCCCACCCCCTCAACAACCAGGTAGGTTTGTCTGAGCGTGTGTGGCTGGCCCATAGTTGCCCAGTGAGCTTCTGTGGCTGAGTGGACACAAACGTGGGTCTCTGAAGTACCAGTCTAACCTCTTCACTACACCAAACTAGCTCCCTGTACCAGAGAAACAATTTAATCCTTAAAGATACTGATTTCAGTAGCACAAGAATAGTTAAAAAAAAAAGACTACAAGAGTGATTTTCCAATGTTTATTAATACAAAATCCCTCCGAGATGTGATTGAGTTAAAGACACAGCAAATAAAAACACTCAACGGGCTCTAAGGCACCCAGTGTGGTTGGGATGAGATTATTATTTTTGGATACTTTTTCAAGGATTAAGACTAAAGCACCAAATGGAAGCAGAACCATCAATCCACAATATCCTTGTCTAGTAGTAATAATATGCATTCTAATCTCAGCATCTAATACCATAACCAACAGCAGTGATATGGACTTAGTTTGAAAAGGCACGTGCAGAACTGTTTATCAGTGGTAAAAAACGGAACAGTCAGCTTATAGGGCAAAATCTTGAATACAGTATGCTCAATCTGTTCAATTTAGTGTCAAACCCCAAATGGCTAGAAGAGGTAAGGGTCAACAAGTGTGAAACCACCCACAGAAGAAATGCTACTGTACCAGATTATAATTTGCATAATTCAAATATCAGTACTCATAACATGATGATTCGCTTCAAACCTGCTCTCCTCATAAAAGAATGCATACCCAGAAGCAAGGCAGGGAACAGATAAAACAATTCACTGAAAAAAGGGACTATTTCTACTTTCCTTAGCCAGTTATTTAAGTCTGTAATATTAAACTGAACTCTTGGTATTTGTCTTATATAATAATGCTGTAATATTTAAATAATACTACATTAAATTCTCATCCATAATATTGTCCACGTGGCTTAGGCTTTAACCTGTTGTTTTGACAATAAATTCACATAATTTGACATTTAATTTTAATCAAATATTCAATTTCTAAGCTAGTTTACAAAGTTTTGGTACTCAGTTACTCAATGAAAATTCCTAATTTTCTGAATACCAAATCAGCAAAACTGATTTGTTTTTTCCCATAAACTTACAAAACAAAACTATTTATAATACAAAAATACATTTTACAGTAAGTAAGCAGACAAATTATGTACATACTGGAAAAACACTATCAATTGTTACTGATCTAGCATTCCGTACCCAAAACACAAACTACAGTAATACTTTCATTCAACATCTGCATGCTTGCCATCAAATAGAACTGATCAGAAGAATTATATCATTATCTTTTCAAAGTACTTTATAAGTAAAGAAAAAGTGTCTAAAGTGCTTAAAAAAATCTCCTCTTGTGTCTTACTTTGTTAAACTGATATGGGATTACTTTGCTGAACACCATCAGAACTAAATATCCCTCAACTATTTCACAGTGCTTATTTTCCTTACAATAGAGATAAGAATCTAGTATTTTTTTCAATACTTTTGGAGATGCATATTAAAAACTTCCAAATACTAGCACTGCAATAGAATAAAATAAATGAGAAAGCAGTTCAGTTGTGGAATATTAATAGAGTCTGAATAATTGAATTGACAATGTATATCAGTCTGCATACGTACCTCTCAGTAGTAAATGATCAATTCCACTTTTAAATTTCATTCAAATTTCCATAAGATTCAGGTTAATTTGGACCAATTTTCACCATTCCAAATGTGAATAACATTTTTTGAACAATCCTTTTACTCCCCAGTGGAGTTGGCATTTGATGTTCAAGCCAGTTATAAGAAAATCTTTATTTCATAACTCAAATATGCAAGTAGTATATACTTGAGATTAAATACTCTAAAAGGTATCACAAATACAGGGAGTCTTGCTTATAGAATATTACATTGTAAACAATTCCTTAGTTTACATGATAAATACATATTTTCTTCTACACACCTTTAACATGATTCAAGTTGGTTGAAAAGGGGAACCGTCAAGTAAAACCTGAGGAAAGCAACTGGACAGTTCAACTGAGAACATCCACCCCAAATTTCTAAGATTGCACATATCTACTTTTTTTTTCAAACAGGAAAATTATGAATGTGCTTTGATATAAAAAGCACCTTTCTTTACACTCTTTTGTGCAATTCCTTAAAGAGCCAAGAGATTTACAGAAAGTTAAATACAGACAGTGCATAGGGGAAAAGGAGAAAATTTTGTAGGGCTAGAAGCAAATATGACCATATACTCTAAGCTTCGGATAGGCCTCTGACACAGAGTGGATTCTTAAAGATTCAGAAGTGCTTTGTAACCAAGTTCATTTTAAGAGGCCTGGTAATTGAGAACATTTATAAACATGAGTGAGAACGAACATCATAATGAAACAAACAGAAGCTTCTCTAAAATTCATTAAGTTAAACTGGTTGTAAATATATATACAGTAGTGAAATATAGATGACAGCTTCCATTCTGTAAAAGAAAAGACATAAAATATCAACATAAAATTACTTAGGCTCAATAACAAAGTTAAGTCTTGGAGTCTGGCAATTAAAGAGCTACATTGAATGAAAGGACAATAATCAAAACATTAATTCATGTTCCTCCCCTTTTCTATTTGTGGACATTTTTTTCTGATTATTAAAAGACTCCCATTTTACAAGCGTCAGTGTTTAGCTCCTTTTCTTATAGATTAAACCTAATTATTAGAAACCTAGAAAGGAGAAAAGCAGTGGGGATGGGGTGGGGTGGAGTGGAGGGAAGTTATAATAAGATCATACCTGTCTTTGTTACATATCATTCAAAATTCATTATCAGTCAAGCAACCATAAGACAAGTAGTCATGTTTAGTCTAAGAGAAGCATACAGCTATAACCTGAAATATTCCTTTGCCAAAGCTGATGTTTTCCTATTATACCACAATACATTCTTGCTAATACTTCAGTAGAAGCCAGTTTCAATACAAGCAGTGTGCACTAGTGGTGGTCAGACATTGGAAGTAGCAAGAATGCATTAAACTGTTCTTTGATCTTATTGTAGCTGTTAACCAGGAACATCACTGGACAACATTGGTTAGACTACCAGTGGAACCACTCAACCCATTTTCATTTTTCTGCAGTGTTTTCACAGCTGTTGGCACTTGCAATCCTGTTGTCAATGTGAGCCCACCACACCAAACCTAAAAAATAAGGTATAAAGAACAGTGAAAAATTATTCAAGCTTTCTGTGAAAAAGAAAACAGATTATCACTGGAATCATATATTTCTCACTGTCTTATTATGGCTGCTTCAAAATTAAGCATTTCCTTTCTTTTCTTGACTATTAAGCTGACACCAAACTATGCCCTAACCCTAAGCTGTACTTACAATATTAATTCTGGTATGCTGAACCAGCCAACTTCAAACCTACACTTTGAAGATGAATTGTTTCAATAAATCATGACATTGTACTAAAGAAAAATAAAAAAATCTTCCAGTCCTTACCTTACAATTATATCTCAGTGTAGCTTGTTCCTATCATGATAAACCATACTTTACCTCATATTTATCTTTTTATTAAGAATAATGATTGGTATGTAAAACACATCAGGAAAAACACAGTATTATTTTAACATTGAGTATACCTTATATGTATCATATAAAAACTTGTATCATATAAAAAACCAGTATATTGTTCTAATAAAGTCTCTGAAAGAATGGAAATAGAAAATGGCAAGACACATCTTAATACCAGAACTAGATTTAACTGCATGAAGCAGAATGAGCAACACATTGTCCATCTTTACCCAATTTTTCCCAAATTCTCACTCATTGAAGTCCATCAACTATCTCTTATTAATTTCTTCAGAATTTCTCAAATTTTAGAAGAGATTGACCAGGGTAGAGGATGTTGTAATGGGGGAAACAAGTGAGAACTTCTTCCCCTTTACAAAAGTGGTCTTCTGCCTGTACAAATCTGGATTCTATTACTGCAACCTCCTTATTCTTTGCATCTGCTTGCAGAATGTGAAAACAGAAATATACCTAAGTATTAAAGTTGGGAAAAGAAAGCTTTTTCATTACTTGGGGAAAAAAATTTGGATAAAGTAAGCAAATGGCTAAACTTAAGATTCAATTTAAGTTTCAGGAAAAATTAGCTGTAACACTCCTGCCCTCAGTAGAAATCCTGAGATTACATAACCTATTTTCTTCACTTGTCCTAAGTCCACTAAATCAAGTGCAACTAGGATGTAGATTTATTGTCCATTCATTTCAAAAAGCTGCCTTGTGATCCATGTTTACTTCCATAGTAAACCACTTTAACTGAGATCCTATTAAAAATGCTTCAGAAAATTCAGGTGCATAGTTGATTGTGGAGGACAATTTGAAACTACCCATTTTGTCTTATGTTCATTCTTTATCCATGTACTTCCAGGCTTAATTTGAAATATTGATGGTCAATATAAAAATATTGATTTCAACCATACAAAGGGCCATTTGCATCCATGCAAGTCTGCTTAGGCCCTGACACTAGCATCTGACATAGAATTTGATAGGAGGGCATTTAAACACAATGTTTTGTTGAAAACCCAATGCCTCACAATGTCTTCTCTACAGACTACAAAAAGGTCCTGCTATGGAATTTAAAGTTTTCAAACTCTTTCCCCCAGATTTTGGGATTTAATTACTACTAGTTTAATTAATTCTATTATATATAATTCTTGCTTTCCCTTTATATATATATTTACATATAAATTCCCTTTATTTCCACTGTTTTTACAGGCTTTAATTATATAGTTTTAATAAGTTCTGAACTGCCATGGGAAAATAATCCTAAATAGCAGCTAGAACAGAAGCAATTTGAGAACTGAAAAATGCAATGCTGTCAAATTAATAAAAACTACAGAATTGCCTTTCTTCTAATGTGTTTAATTCTAGCATTTAGAAACATCGATTCCTTATCCACATTTAGCACTGTAGGCTAGGATATGCCTACCAAAAATTCTGGGAGTTGTAGCTCAACATATTTGGTAGGCAGGAAGCTGGGAAAGTCTGCATTAACTGAGTATTTTTATTTTTTTTTAAGTAGAGAAGTTATAGCCTCAATTCCATAGAATTAGTACCATAGTCATTGGGAGTTGTATAACATATAAATTTGATGAATAAGCAAGCCAGTTTTCTTTATTGTAGTAGCCATTCAGGTTTGCTTCTAAGAAAAGAACAATAAGAATGTGTATACTCAGAACATTTTTTCTGCTATTTACAAAAATTATGCACCTGGATTTTTATAGCTATAAGAGCATGTGCTAAAGAACTGGTTTTTTTTTAAAGTCTAGGTGATCAGTTTTAACTTTTTTAATTTATTAGATGTTTCTCCGAATCCTTGGAAAACATAGGAGCTAAATCATTTAGACCGGGGGTGTCAAACTGCCGGCCTGTGGACCAAATGCGTCATGCCAAAACCACGCCCACCCCAGCTCTGGCAAAAAAGTTGCAATATGTTGTGACACGTGACGTGACGAGTTTGACACCCGGTTTAGACTGTCACTTGAAAATGACACAATGAACAGATCTAAGCAAGTATAGATGGTTTTAGGCCTCTCATACCCATCAAAACTTGTAAGTAGCCTAAAATATATTACAGCTTTCCTTCATAACATTTTAAATTTTGATTTTATTTACAAGAGTAATTGAAGTGGTAAAACTGAAACATTGCAGCAGCAATTTGATTAGATAATAAATACTAACCATAAAGCCTGGTAATAGAGGTTGGGTAAATTTTGTTTTGAAAGTATATAACAACTGTTTTGAGCTTGCATTATAGAAAGATAGTTGACCTAAAGAGAGAAAAGCAGATTAATACTTCCATTCAAAACCAAACCTCTAAAGTCTTTTCAATAAGGAAATGCTCATAATCTTTGAAGTGGATATCATTACTTCCTAACATGCCATTAGCTATCACCCACGAAGAGTGTTAAGAAATCTTGCTGCCAGGACTACAAAGCAAATCTTACTGCATGAATGGGTAATTAAGAAGTCGCTCTTGATTTAGAGAATAGATGGACTATGGAATACCAAGTTGTTTAAGACTTGGTTTCTATGCCAACTACCAAATGAACTAGGAAGCAGAAAATATGGAATAAGAGCGCAGAGTTCCCAATGGCCAAATATTTTTATATATTTAAAGCACATATATTGTATCTGAACTGTTTTGCCTGTTCAAACAATCAGTCTAGCCCTGCACTACTTTCAGTACTGGTTAAGTAACCAAATTTTCTGGGTGTAAATGGTAGGATATTTTATGGAGACCTCTGAAAGCTTATAGATGTCTCAATAAAGTATACCACTAATTACATCCAGAAAATCAAAGATGTTGCACATCTAACAACTAAAGGTCTCTTTTGTAATTGTGTTTCATTCTGGTTTATGACCATAATAAAGTTTTTGTTTGATTTACATATTCAATTTAAAGTAATGAAGTTAAAAATTGATTTCATAATGCACACAAGACTATTTTTTCTCCCTTCTCTCCTGCCCCTCTGTTTTAAAGTGAAAGGGTTATTCTCTATTTACTTTTGATACAGTTTCATTGTGAAAAGATCTAGGGCTACTGTAGGTGTTTCAAATCATGCCTAACAAATGGTAAGAATGATTGTTTAGAAAAGCTGCAAGATTCTGCATTTGCATAAAATTCTATATGATATAGGATTTCCAATCCAATATCAACACATTGCAGCAGCACTTTAACCTAAAAAAATACTCAGCAAACCATTTTTGTTATATATGCTGCTTTTCAAAAACAAATTTATCCACAGTAGCTTAACACAAAGACATTCTGAACAAATAAAATGCACAGTAAAACACAGTAATTAAAATTCCAAACGTTAAAATGATAAAAGCAGCAATGCCAGTAATTAAAAATTTACTAAGCAGCAAATAAGCTAAACTCAACAGACCAAATGATTAAAATGCCTGGAATAATTTTAAAAAATCAAATTCAGACATATCTCATAGGGAAGCCTTCCAAAATTGGGGGTAAGTATACTATCACTGAAAATGCCCACACCTATTCCTTCAGATATTATAAAACCCTTTCATCTTGGGATTATGAATGGAAATAAAGTGGAAACTCATAAGTTTGTGTAACCCATTTCAATTAATGCTCCTGTTCTTACCCTGTTAATATTTAGAAACTATACTAAAAATTATTTTATTTTGCTTTGTTTAAAGATAGATTCAGACCCAGTTTTTTCCAGACCTTGTCCACTATATTACTTTATTTCAGTTTTTTCAGTAATAGCTTTGAAATCTTAAAATTACCTCCATCAAAGTCACAATAGACTCCTATCCTGTCTGGAACCACGACATCTAGTGTTTTTGCTTTATTATTGTGTTTGGCTGCAAACGTACTCTGGAGCCAGTTATTGATATGAACACACCAGCTTGTACTGGTCTTTCCCAGCTGATCAAATTTTCCCAAATTTTTATATGCTACTCCTACACTGTATGACTTGCAGTCCTTCTGGGCTTTCACTTCCCAATAATGCTGTCCATTTTCAATTGTAGTATCTCCTGTAAGGAAACACAGTAGATCAATTAACACTTCATGTCAGTTGAGATTCCTCAGAGATTAAGAACACACATATGTTACATATCAGACACAAAGTATACAGGTGTAAACTAGAGCTTATACATATTGTTAATATCTTCCTAATTTTATACAACTCCCAGTTGGACTCCCCCTCAATGGTCACTGGAAGGGCTTCTATAGATTCTTCTTATTCCTCAGAACTTTGAACTCATGAAAAGACCCAAAGAGAAGAAATACAGAAAAGAACGTCTCAGAAGAGAACAGATGTAGTGCAAATGAAAATATAACAAAAAGTAGAGAAAGAATGAGAATTTAGCAATTTGGACACAGTTACTAACAGCATCATAGACTGCAAGAAGAACAATTCCCCAGGCCAAAATGACTGCATGCTTGATCAACAAGGAGTCACGAACTTTGGGGGTGAACAGACGATGTGAACAGACGATGAACCAGAGAAAAATTATTGCTCCTGGCAATTTTGAGAGAAGGAAACATGGAAAGAAATGATAATATGGATAAATGAGATTTTAAAAAATTGTTAATGTCCTTGGAAGAAGTAACTGCAATGTAACATAGTAAAAAATAACAAACATTTGTCCAGACAATCAACAGGAGTTCAGCCTGACTTGATAGCACCTAGCCAATTATTCATCTAGGCAATGAACTAACTTGTTTGGCTCTTTTCCCTTTCTTTCAATCCCTTTTCTTCTGTTGAAATAACAATAACAATAACAATAACAATAACAATAACAATAATAATAATAAAAAGTTGGAAGGGACCTTGGAGGTCATCTTTTTTACATCGTGGTGACCAAAACTGGATGCAATATTCCAAGTGTGGCCTTACTAAGGCATTGTAAAATGGTATTAATACTTCACGTGATCTTGATTCTATCCCTCTGTTAATGCAGCCCAGCACTGTGTTGGCTCTTTTGGCAGCTGCAGCACACTGCTGGCTCATATNGCACCTGGATTTTTATAGCTATAAGAGCATGTGCTAAAGAACTGGTTTTTTTTTAAAGTCTAGGTGATCAGTTTTAACTTTTTTAATTTATTAGATGTTTCTCCGAATCCTTGGAAAACATAGGAGCTAAATCATTTAGACCGGGGGTGTCAAACTGCCGGCCTGTGGACCAAATGCGTCATGCCAAAACCACGCCCACTACAGCTCTGGCAAAAAAGTTGCAATATGTTGTGACACGTGACGTGACGAGTTTGACACCCGGTTTAGACTGTCACTTGAAAATGACACAATGAACAGATCTAAGCAAGTATAGATGGTTTTAGGCCTCTCATACCCATCAAAACTTGTAAGTAGCCTAAAATATATTACAGCTTTCCTTCATAACATTTTAAATTTTGATTTTATTTACAAGAGTAATTGAAGTGGTAAAACTGAAACATTGCAGCAGCAATTTGATTAGATAATAAATACTAACCATAAAGCCTGGTAATAGGGGTTGGGTAAATTTTGTTTTGAAAGTATATAACAACTGTTTTGAGCTTGCATTATAGAAAGATAGTTGACCTAAAGAGAGAAAAGCAGATTAATACTTCCATTCAAAACCAAACCTCTAAAGTCTTTTCAATAAGGAAATGCTCATAATCTTTGAAGTGGATATCATTACTTCCTAATACGCCATTAGCTATCACCCACGAAGAGTGTTAAGAAATCTTGCTGCCAGGACTACAAAGCAAATCTTACTGCATGAATGGGTAATTAAGAAGTAGCTCTTGATTTAGAGAATAGATGGACTATGGAATACCAAGTTGTTTAAGACTTGGTTTCTATGCCAACTACCAAATGAACTAGGAAGCAGAAAATATGGAATAAGAGCGCAGAGTTCCCAATGGCCAAATATTTTTATATATTTAAAGCATATATATCGTATCTGAACTGTTTTGCCTGTTCAAACAATCCGTCTAGCCCCACACTACTTTCAGTACTGGTTAAGTAACCAAATTTTCTGGGTGTAAATGGTAGGATATTTTATGGAGACCTCTGAAAGCTTATAGATGTCTCAATAAAGTATACCACTAATTACATCCAGAAAATCAAAGATGTTGCACATCTAACAACTAAAGGTCTCTTTTGTAATTGTGTTTCATTCTGGTTTATGACCATAATAAAGTTTTTGTTTGATTTACATATTCAGTTTAAAGTAATGAAGTTAAAAATAGATTTCATAATGCACACAAGACAACTGTTTTAAAGTGAAAGGGTTATTCTCTATTTACTTTTGATACAGTTTCATTGTGAAAAGATCTAGGGCTACTGTAGGTGTTTCAAATCATGCCTAACAAATGGTAAGAATGGTTGTTTAGAAAAGCTGCAAGATTCTGCATTACTAATTTGCATAAAATTCTATATGATATAGGGTTTCCAATCCAATATCAACACATTGCAGCAGCACTTTAACCTAAAAAAACTCAGCAAACCATTTTTGTTATATATGCTGCTTTTCAAAAACAGATTTATCCACAGTAGCTTAACACAAAGACATTCTGAACAAATAAAATGCACAGTAAAACACAGTAATTAAAATTCCAAACGTTAAAATGATAAAAGCAGCAATGCCAGTAATTAAAAATTTACTAAGCAGCAAATAAGCTAAACTCAACAGACCAAATGATTAAAATGCCTGGAATAATTTTAAAAAATCAAATTCAGACATATCTCATAAGGAAGCCTTCCAAAATTGGGGGTAAGTATACTATCACTGAAAATGCCCACACCTATTCCTTCAGATATTATAAAACCCTTTCATCTTGGGATTATGAATGGAAATAAAGTGGAAACTCATAACTTTATGTAACCCATTTCAATTAATGCTCCTGTTCTTACCCTGTTAATATTTAGAAACTATACTAAAAATTATTTTATTTTGCTTTGTTTAAAGATAGATTCAGACCCAGTTTTTTTCAGACCTTGTCCACTATATTACTTTATTTCAGTTTTTTCAGTAATAGCTTTGAAGTCTTAAAATTACCTCCATCAAAGTCACAATAGACTCCTATCCTGTCTGGAACCACGACATCTAGTGTTTTTGCTTTATTATTGTGTTTGGCTGCAAACGTACTCTGGAGCCAGTTATTGATATGAACACACCAGCTTGTACTGGTCTTTCCCAGCTGATCAAATTTTCCCAAATTTTTATATGCTACTCCTACACTGTATGACTTGCAGTCCTTCTGGGCTTTCACTTCCCAATAATGCTGTCCATTTTCAATTGTAGTATCTCCTGTAAGGAAACACAGTAGATCAATTAACACTTCATGTCAGTTGAGATTCCTCAGAGATTAAGAACACACATATGTTACATATCAGACACAAAGGATACAGGTGTAAACTAGAGCTTATACATATTGTTAATATCTTCCTAATTTTATACAAATCCCAGTTGGACTCCCCCTCAATGGTCACTGGAAGGGCTTCTATAGATTCTTCTTATTCCTCAGAACTTTGAACTAATGAAAAGACCCAAAGAGAAGAAATACAGAAAAGAACGTCTCAGAAGAGAACAGATGTAGTGCAAATGAAAATATAACAAAAAGTAGAGAAAGAATGAGAATTTAGCAATTTGGACACAGTTACTAACAGCATCATAGACTGCAAGAAGAACAATTCCCCAGGCCAAAATGACTGCATGCTTGATCAACAAGGAGTCACAAACTTTGGGGGTAAACAGACGATGTGAACAGACAATGAACCAGAGAAAATTATTGCTCCTGGCAATTTTGAGAGAAGGAAACATGGAAAGAAATGATAATATGGATAAATGAGATTTTAAAAAATTGTTAATGTCCTTGGAAGAAGTAACTGCAATGTAACATAGTAAAAAATAACAAACATTTGTCCAGACAATCAACAGGAGTTCAGCCTGACTTGATAGCACCTAGCCAATTATTCATCTAGGCCAGGCATGTCCAAAGTCCGGCCCGCGGGCCATTTGCGGCCCGCGTTCCGGTTTAATACGGCCCTCTAACAGGCCTCCCTGCTCTATGTAAATGCGGCCCTCCCACGGCCCTCCGGCAAGTCCCATGAGAGAGAGAGAGAGACAGAGACAGAGACAGAGGCACTTGCACTTCTGCCTCTCTCTCTCTCATGGGACTTGCCCCCTCACAGGGCTCCTCATTGGCCCTGCGCCCGGGTGCCCTGCCCCCTGGGAGAAGGGCGGCCAGGAAGTTCCTTTCCTGGGCTGGCCCCGTCCCAGGCGCACGTGGCTGGGGATCCATGCGCGGAAGCCCTGGGATCCCCGCTGGGAGCAACCCCCCCGGAGCCTTTGCTGAGTGGGCCAGCCCTCCCGTAAGCCGCAGCCCTGAGAGAGAGCAGCCCCTGCGATGTCCAGCCGGCGCAACCGTTGGCCAAGCAGCAGCAGAGCCGGAGATGGAAGGTCAGTGGCAGGGGGAGGAGGGAGCTCTGAGTCCGCAGAGCACCGCCGCGAAGCGGCCGTGGGGCGGGTGGCACCCCCCCAGCTTACCTGTACCAGGCAGCAGTCCTGGCTGGGGCATTGCTTCCTGGCCTGTCCCCAGGCCGCTCCCTGCGCAGCCGAGCCGGCCACGTGTCTCCCCGGGCTGGGCCGCGCGACAGTCCTTGCTGGGCCGGCGGCCGGCGGGGGCATCGCTCCCTGGGCCGTCCCCATGCCGCTCCCTGCCTGGGCAGCCGAGCAAGCCACGCGTCTCCCCGAGCCAGTCCGTGGTGCCCTGGGTGCCTTCTGCTGCCTCCTGCCCCCCCCACACGCTTGGCCATCCCAGGACCTCTGCCCATTTTCCCACGCCCGGAGCAGGAGAGGAAGCGCTGCTTTCTGGGCATCGAAAGGGGCTTACCCCTCCCAGCCCCCCATCCACCGGGACGACGGCGCTCCTCTGGACCGGGGCTGTGCGAATCGCAGCCTGCAGGATTTGGCCCTGGAAAGGCCGGACTGGCCAGCCGGCCGGGGAGGCCAAGCAGCCCCAGTGAGGGAGCCGCTCCCGCCCTGTGGCCGGCTGGCCAGGAATCCCATCCGGCTCAGCGGGAAGCCCGGGGGCCACCTGAGTGCCGCAGGGGTGTCCACCTCAGCCGCTTCTGGCAGGCCCGCTAATTGTGGGCTCCCTGCCGGCTTCCTCCGTGAGCCAGGCGTCCGGGACTCCACAGAGCCGCCCCTAATTGCACCCCGCGAGGGCTCGACTGAGCCCCGGCCTGATCTCCAAAACGCAGCTTGCCCGAATTCTTTCTGCCTC